ACGGCACCTGCAGTTTTGATTAGGGACAATCAAACACTGTTTGTACAGTGCCTGTTGCAAGACAACATGAGGGTAAACTTCAAAAATTGCTGGCAGTGGTTTTGAGAGCAGTTAACAAATGGGACAAGGTGAGCAATGGAAAAATGCCTGCCAGAGTATCTCAAATCCCCAATATTACCTGTAATTCTATATAACGTGGATGGCAAATAGCTTTGCCCATCAATCACACCCCTGCCAGGCAGGCACCTTTGTGTTGCATCCAGTGCAAAGCCAAGAGAACATACACCGAGTTAAAGAATGGGAGAATCAAAGAGAAGCTGTTTTCCCTTTCAAAACAGCCAGGTACCCCTTATTAACACCAGGGGATGAATCTCTGCCCCTGGCTGCAACAGCGACCAGTCCTCGGAGGATGAAAACGTCTCAGAGAGCAAGTCAAGTGAAAAGTATGCTCACCAAAATTTCCTGTATTAAGATCTTCAAGAACTTAGCAAGAAGACCCATCTAATGAAGAACTGAAAAAAATATCCATACTGAAATGTTAATTCCCCACCCAGTTCACTTTATTTTTCCATTTTGTATAAGCAGCTACTTATGCCTATTCAGGATGGGCCCATTCCCCTTTACTAAATGATAACTTGGCATCATGAATTCTGGAATCAATTTGTGCTTTTCTGCTAAAACGTTATTTAGATTCCGCTAATCACAGGATATTTTTTAAAAAAAGCATTTTGCTTTTTATAATAAATTGCAGAATCTGAAGATGAGAGGCATCATTTAAGCATTAAAGAAGCTGCTGCTGCTAAGCCCAGGGCGGTATCACACACCTACACTACGCTCTGCTGCAACTCAGCTTACCTGCCCAAAACGAAACAGAGAGGACTTGCAAAACGCAGTAACGCATGTAACTTGTAACAGATAGAAAGAAAGGGCAGCAGCCACTGCCAGGTTTCTTGCAAAATTCTGCTATACTTGCAGTTGCAGCCCAAATGAAAAACAGAAGGACTCCACGACAGTTTAAAGCAGAAAAATCAAGCAGACAGGCTGAGTGTCTCTCCAAAAAAAGACCATTTTTTCCAAAATTAATTCCAAGTTATTCTTTCCCTCTCTAGCATCCCTACTCAAGAATAAGTATGCACATTGGCCACCCTTTTGTGCAGAATTTGATCAGCAAASAGTATCAAGAGGCTTTCTGGCTTCTCTCCTTATAGCCGAGCAGAAGGGGGATGGTGTTTGCTCACATGCTTTCCTGTAAAGCCCGCCACCAATTTCCTTATCTTGTCTTTCAAGTAGAGAGCAAAGCAGGCTCCTGTTTAGTCTCTAAAACTTGACAAAACAGGAGGAGTCTGTTTATTTATTTATTTWTTTTTTATAAGGAAGCTGCACCTTGCAGGAACACATCCAACCCAACCCATCTCATCCTTGGACAAAACTACATCTTCAAGAGCTGCACATTAAAATCAGGGGTAAAACCAAACTGCTGGAGACAATGGCAAGAGCTTTCACTGGTGAAGGGAAAGAAGAGCTGTGAGAAGATCAGCTAGCAAAAAAAAGGAAGGAAAAAAAACCCTTAAGGAAGAAACCCCCAGGGTTTATGCCCACGCACAGAACTGGGTGCAGTGAATGCCAGCACCGTCCCTGCCTTCCCAACACCCCGCCAAGCACTCGGCACCACAACTGCCCGCTGAGCATGTCACCCGGGGACAAGAGGGAGAGGAAGGAAGGGAAAGGGCTCTGAAATAAGTAGGAAAAATTAAAAGCAATTGCTCAGGAAGCCTTGTCCTCTAGAAAGCTTTATTTCTACACTGGATTGGATGTGGTGAGGCAAGCTAATGCCTTTAATAAAAAACAACCTTCAGAAAAGCTCAGTTTTTGCATGCTAGACTCCTTTGAAGATGTAGCTATTGAAATTACAGGCGTTAAGTGCTTGAAATCTCTCCAAATGGGGGGGAAAATAGTTCCAAAAGGACCACACATGACAGCAGAACCTGGCCTGCAACTAGTGGTGATGATACGGAATGGAGAACCCCTCAGCCCTGACGGCCAGCCAGCCTGCCCTGGCTGTGAGATGGGCGTCCCAGAGCCTTTCTTCTTTAATATGAGAGGCCTCAACAAAAGGTTTCCAGCAGTTTTCCTTGGCAGASTCTCACAGGACAGATGCTTCTTTCCTGGCACTTTCATCTTTTCCCCCTATTTCATGATTGCACCTGTGTCCTGTAACTCCACTGTACCACCCTAATGCCACTCCCTGCTGGGTGCAATGCCCATTAAATATCATCAGACAGAAATCACGTAACCAGCGCCTCCCATCTCAAGTTTAGTCCATGCATCATCACACCGCGGGAGTAAATTCTTTTAATAAACTCTTTTCACATGACCAGCTCCCAGCCTCCTAATTATTACTGTCCCTTTTTAAACCATAACCATTTCTATCCTTAATATTTCATATGTAGTCCCATCAAAACTCTTCAAAAAAGAATTACCTCCATAGTTCTTTCATTTTTTTTAGGAGCTCAATTCTCTTGAAGGATTGACACATAAATAAAAACATTTCCTTTAATTTCAGTCAGCTTCACAATCATATATTTTACTGTGAATTATTTCTGTAGATTTAAAACACCTTAAATATCTTAAGTAAAAGAAAAAAAAAGACCATTGGTATACTTAGAAAAACATGCTTATTCAACACAGAACAGAAGACATCATTGGAACTACTAAGATTTTACACCAGTGAGTGTGCTGTCCTTCTTCCCTTGCCCCTCCTTGCTGACCTGATATTGGAGACTCTCCTGCTGCTCATGTCAACCCCAAGTCCGCTCCTCTCCCACCMAACTCAATCCATCTTCGTATGTATCCCTGCTCACTTGCATTTTCCCATGATTTTACCATAACAGTCATTTCTTCCAGCGGGGAGTAAGAAAAAAAAAAATCAATCAGTGCATGTTGACACTGTGTATCTTCCTGTCAAACACGGTTTGCTAACAAAAACATACCACATTCTCACTTCAGTAGTTGCACCAGCTGACTTCCCACCTGCTTCCAGGTATGGCTTTCAGGTGCTGCCTCTCCCACAAACACATGAACGTCCTAATGATTTACAATTTGGCTCTTTCCATGCTACCATTTCTTCCATAGGAGCCCAGAGGGTGAAGGAGGTTTATGCAGAAGTCACAGTCCCTCCATTCAGGAATTGTGAGACTCCTAGGCAAATGCTTTCTAAACCATCTCTGAAATCCACCCCTCCGACTGGTCTGACGAGGCCGGCGGTGGCTGCCTGCAGGCCAGCAGAGCCCTGTGCGCGGTGCCTCCCAGGCGGCGCCCGCGGCTCCTGCCCCTGCCTTGGCTCTCTGCTGTTTACCTAGGCACATCAATGGGCATTCTTACATACATGCACACAGCTTAGGTAGCTGTTTGGCTCTCCTCTCTTCCCTCAAAAGAGCAATGGGAACAAATAGACCTCCGGAAATTGTAAAAGCTGTAAATCTGTACAGATGTTACTGGAGAAACGGCATCTGTTTCTTTAGACCACAACCTCTTATTTCCATCTGCTACAGTGTACTGCAACTTAAGTGATACCTAAGTAGACTACAAGGTTTTGCAGTGCCAGGACACTGCTTTGGACAAACTGAATCACCATCACGACCACAGCAAGTTAGCATCAGGACAGCCACATAGCAGTCATCCAACACGTCGAGATTTTGCGTGTGGTTCCGTCCCATGCAATTTTGGCTAAAGCTTCCTGGGAGCAGCCCCCGAAGCTGACTGGTGCCATGGTGGCTTGCAGGGTGGCACAGATCGCTCCAGCGAGCTGCCCTGTCTCTGCAAGCATCCGCTCTGCATGCGGGGAGAGGGCACGAGCCAGCAGCTGCATGGCAGACACCAAAATCTAGCATCAAAACCAGCACAAAGGAACTGCAAGTACAAAATTTGCTCACAAAGTCACTGAAACAGTGCTGGGAAGGGAGTGCTACAGAGAGTTGTGTCCAAATACTCACTTGAAGCAACACTCAAGCTTTCCTGTCTTAAGTGTACAGATATTTGGGCCAATATGACTGGTCTTCAAAAGCATCATGCCGAGTTTGGATAAGGTAACTGCCTGCATTCTCCAATAAGACGTGTGAGATAATATCCCTGAGCCTGAAGCCTCACAACCCATTTATACAGCTGAACTCACACAAAAAGCAGATACCTCCCTTCCCTTTTTACTAAATGCTATCCCGTACCATCTTGGGATGGAAAAAAAAAGACACACACACACACAAACTTCTGCAAAATGAGGCCAGCCCGTGCTGTGTTTCCAATCTACAAGCCAGTGACTTGGATGGCTGCTGTTCCTCGAACGCGCCAGACCCCGCGATTCCCGTGGGCGAGAGCCGGGTCTGATGTCGCAGCCCCGGCCTGGCGAGCACCGCGGGCTCTGCACACACGCCGGGCTGCCCGCCGGGACCGGACAGCCTGGCATCCAAGGAGTCTCCTCCCGACTCCTTTCCCCACCACAGGCAATAACAACTCACAGGCAGCTGTGACACCAAGCGCATCCTTGTTACTTGTCACAGCAAGAGCTGAGAGTGGGGAATCCTCACCCGCAGCAACAACGGCAAACTCGAGCCAGGCGACAAGCACAGCTACGTGCTAATTTCCCTTTTTCGAGATGATTTCCCTTATTTGCTTACGCAGAGCTGCGCGCTGATTCACAACGCGGGCCAGGAGCTTCCCCGGCTCCCGCGGCCGGGCCCGGGCGCCCCGGCACRTGCGGCGGGACTGACCGCGGCGGCTGCCCCGCCCGCCCCAGCTGCTAACGGCCCCAACGGTCACCCGCAGCGCTTCCTCCTTCACACGCGTGGGGAATCTCCCGAGGAGGAAGCGCCCCAGCATCCCACTTTCCAACCGGGCACCAGCCTCCTCAGGAGCCCTTCTTTTAAACAAGGGCAGACGAGTAAAGCACAGACACAAGTTCCCTGTGCCCCGCTCCGCGCGCTGCCGCCCGCTCCCGCCGCGCCTACCTCGGATGTAGGCGCACTTGGCGTCGTCCAGCGCGCAGGAGGCCGAGCCGCCCATGGCGGGCGCGGGGCGCGGAGCGGGGCGCGGAGCCGCTGCCGGCCGCCGCTCGCGGAGCCGCTGCCGGGGCAGGGCCGAGGCCGGGGCCGCCGCCGCTCGCGCCCCGCCCCGCGCCGCTCCCCGCGGCGCCGCCTCTCCGGCCTCCCGTTAAACGCGAGCGTTTCCACGAGCGCGTCCAGGCRGCTCCTGAGCATCTGCACGGATGGAAACTCCTCATCCTCGCTGGGCAGCTTGCTACCCTCACTGTAAAAACAGCTTTTTCCTACATTTAGATGCAATCTCCTGTTTCAGCTGGAGGCCTCTGCCTCCAGTCCTGTCACTGGACACCTTGGAGCAGTTTGTCTCCGTCTTCTTTACACCTCCCAGCCCCTATTTGTACACACGGGCCAGATGCCCCTGGGGCTGCTCCTCTGCAGGCTGCACATGCCCAGCTCTCAGCCCCTCCTCACAGGACAGGTGCTCCAGTCCCTTAATCATCACCGTGACCCTCACTGGACGTGCTCCAGTAGCTCCATCCCGCCTGGTACTGAGGCACCGCTGGACACAGCCCTCCAGTGCGGCCTCCCTAGCGCYGATGGAGGGGCAGCAGCAGCTCCCTTGACATGCTGGCAGCCTAATGCAGCCCAGGACACCTCTAGCTGCCTCCCTGCCATGCACAYTGCTGCTTCGTGTCCAGCCGGCTGCCCTGTCCTGCACACCTGCTCTCCAGCTGGTTGGCTGCCCGTATGCACTAGTGCATGGGCTTGCTCCTCCCTAGGTGCAGGACGTGTGGGAAAAGTCAGGAGCAGAGCCAAATGATCCCGCTTCTATACTGTTCCAATAGCAAAACCATTCCTCTCTAGAATAAGAAATTGGCTAGGATTGATTTTAATTTAACATAGCCACATATAATGCACTGCAGTTCTCAATGACAAAATAATTAAGCACTAACAAAATAACAGCAGCACAGACAAAACAAACACTTTCATTGTTTTTCTTTCCCCTGAGAAATCCTGATCTTTGAGAGAAAGAAGCTTTATGTCTTCCTCAGAACGCTCCTTCTCTAAAAACTTCTTTTGTAGCATATCCTGAAAGGCAACGTGATGGAGCCCTTCCATTGCACCCAGAAAGTAAATTCTGGAGTGAAAAAGGCTGTACTTCACTGTTATCTCTCTACAGAGGAAACTGTAACATAACCATGAAGTGTCAAAGACAGAGACATAACCATGAGGTCTGTTCTCAGCACAAACGGTCATACCAGCAAATAAAGTGGTTGTTAGTCAAACACACGGCCCTCAGTGCAACCGCAGGGCTGACAAAGCGCAGACGCGCCATCAGAACGACTGATAAAATCTTTGTCCTGTTGTTGTTGTCCTCCCCCAGGGAGCAACACCGTCTGAGTGTAACTTAAGATATGTAAGGAACCTGTTGCTGTGGCATGCTGCAAAACAGCCTTTGCCTGTATCATCCRCTTCAGAGGAAAATGAAGGGTTTATCCTGTTTATACTCCCCCACAGCCTTCTTGGTTTATACTCTTCCACAGTCTTCTTGGTTGCCTCATAAACACGGACGAATGTGAGCAGAAGCACTGAAGTGAAAGGTACTTAGGTKCCCAATGAAAAATAATGAGGCAGATGAGTGCAGGGAATGGGTTTGTCCACCTTCCTTCTCCACTCCTCATTGTCCTTCCCAATTATCCTTTCTTCCCATTTGGCATGCAAACAGCGATCATTTGAAAACTCAGGAAATACAAACTGTAGATAACATTTATCATTTTACCCTACTTGGTTGCAAATTGTTTATAAACGTCCATTTGGTCCTCACGTTTTAATCTGATCCAAAGGTGTTCTTAAACTTCTCAGCAGAGAAACTTCCTCATATAAATGCATTAAAGTTGACATGTAAGAATCCCGTAGTTTTCTCATCATATTTAGTAAACACATGCAGCTCACTTTGAGGTTCATCTAGATGTTAGCACTGTTAAAAATCTCCTGGCACTTCCAACCTCACATGTTCTCCCTCAGAAACATACACCTTCTAGTGTAAAATCCAAAAACTAAGAAACTCCAACTTTTCTAAGAGTGAGGTGTGGTCAAAAATGCTCTCCTGTAAACGAGGACTAGAACCTTTTCTCTCTTTTTGACACCTGAAATTCTTGAATAGTAGGATTTAGGCAGCTGGAATTTAAAGACGAACGCCAAGTCTCTTGCAACGATAAAAGAATCTGCTAGTGGCACCGCATTTTCATACAAGCCTGTTGCTGGATTTGCAAAATAACTGTAGTCCTAATGTATACTGACATGTTCACTAAAGTCAGTCTTCTCAACCATCACACTGCAGGGTGTTACTGCTCTAGGTAAGCAAGGACAGAACGCTGCTTAGATAAGTAGATTTGCTTCTCAAAAAAATGAGGAGAATTGCACATTGCTAACTGCTGTGTAAAGGACAGGGCTAGCCTCTGAAACAACACACGCCCACAAGAAGGTATGTTCATCATCTCCCTTCCTATCTTTACGCACCCTACAGCGTGATATAGATTCCCAGTTCATTAAAGTGAAAACCAAGAGTGGTAAATATGTTCTGAGCAGCTTATAGTTTTTGTAACAAAATAATGAAGCTGTAGGTATACACTTCATCTTACGAACTGTCCTATCACAGTTCTTTTCTTACCTTATTACAAATAAACAGATTCTCTCAAGTTCAGTCTGTTCACAGAGAAGGATGACTTGTCCACACACCATGATCACACAGGTAGAAAAAGCCTTTTCCGATCTCACTAGAACAAGATACTGCATCCTACCTAAGTTTAAACAACTTTCCTCAAGCCCTATGGCAAACAGTCCTCCAGGTCTTTTGCCCCTTTCTATTCTCATTGCACGAGTGCTGTTAGCCCTGTCTCCTGCCACGTCAGAAGTGTAATGAGAGCCCTGTTCTCGTCTTGCTCTTTTGATGCTAGTCTTGTGAGTCTTTGAAGCTGGAGTCTGCTTTTTGAAAGTCTGGAGAGGCAATGCTGTATCTAGAAGAACAGGAAAGTACACTGCAAACTAAATACAGATGGCAACCAATAAGGACAAAACTCTGGATTTCCTAGGATGTGGCACTGGACTGAAGGTATCAGGGAAAGTCTCTGAGCAGGGAAGTGAAATTCAGAATCCTTAAGGCCTAATTCTCGACTGTCTTCCTTATGTATTACAGCATCCAACAGTTGAGAGGGGCCTAGAGCTRTTATGCTGTCCATTTGCCTGCACAAATGACAAATAATTATTGTTTTTACATCTATGCAAATTAAATTATACATATTGAACATTTCTGTTTACTAAATGTGCTCTTAAATCATATCTGGTGCATTCTAACACCACTTCCTTGTCTTCTTATTCACTAGATTATGAAATCTGTTAAATTAGTCTCCTAGAGGTTTTAATGAAGATTCCTGCTCATTTGCCTTTAAAAGTACTATTTTAATTAGTGAGGACATTCTTGTCGAAGCAGCTACCATACAGGTCTTTGCAGATGAATTGGTGATGCAAGCTTCCTGGTTGTCAAACACGAGGCACGGATTTGTTCCCTCACCTTGAAGCAGAGGTGCTGTGTAGAAACTGGTCAATAAAGCCACATCTGACTGCACTTTCCTCTGCACTGTGTTCCCGCTGCTCCAGAACAACTGACCAGAAGGAGCAGCTAAATCCAGTGATCTCACCACAAAGCTCAGGATAAATTCAGTCAGTGGTAGGTTCAGTGCACTCCTCACAGCCTCAAAACAGCAGCCAGACCTGCTTGGGAAGGCAAAAGGAAAAACCACTCTGAGTGGTGGAAATGTGTTTATAGGGTGTGATTTCCACGGGCAGGTTGAAGTGGTTTCCAGCTCAGGTAATAGAGACAGGCTTATGCACAGAGGAGACAGTCTGAGGGACTAGCACAACTGCCTTGCCATGAAGAGGAGAGTAGTTTTTCTTTCCCTGCTCAGTTATGTCTTTTTGACTCCATTTGATATGTTTGTGAACCATAAGACACGCTGAAATTTGGTATCTCCGTTGCTCACAGTCCTGCCTTTACCAAGTTATTCCTTTGCCAGTCCTAGGGCAGCAGAAGAGCAAAACCAATGAYGAGAAGAGAGACCACCGACTGTGCCCACCACAACAGGCACCCCACTGCCTATACACTGAGTGCGGTGCAGCAAGACATCAAAAGCTGTAAAGGAGACCTGCTATTTTTCTTCTGAATGAAATTAAATTGYAGCATGACTCTATACTCAGAGGAGTTAGGGTGGGATTATATTGCCCCTGGAATTCTGCCTCTGTTTGATTAGCAAAGATATGGCTGAAACGTTCCTCCTAAGTGAGCTGGTGATCATGGATTATTAACAATCCTTCAAAAGTATGGCAGTTGTCTGCTGCAGAGGCCAAATGATCCTGCAGACATCATTAAGGAAGGAGAGGAAAAATCCTCACCACATCTGGATTTGCTTCTTCTGGACACAGATGGTTTGGGTTGCATTTTTCCCAGAAAATACTCATTAAGACAAAGCAGAGAGTTTAAATGCAGTCTTCCTGTTTCAAGTCTCCATTTTCCATGCAGAAACTTCTCATCAGGAGCCTCTCCAAGAAGGCATATGTATGGATTGAAAAGGATTTTCCAAACCCTATTGCACTCTGAGTAGGTTTTAACAGTTCAAAAGCATAGCTGACACACAAAATAAATCTGGATAGCGGGGATTTATTTTCCCTCCCTCAGAAGTGACTGCCTTGTCTGTTACAAAAAAACTTAGCACTCTGAGTTCTATAACCAAGGTGAATAGATCCCCAAGAGTTTACAAGTTTTTCAGCTGACGATGCCCAGAGTGTGTCCTTTCTCAGAAACATCTCAATTCAAGCCCAGCTTTTGACATGGGGACGTCACGCAGTGATGAGCACTGCAACAAAAGCCACAAGGTCCTAATCATGTTGGCAGCGGAGGTACCTGCTGATCCTTGTAATCCCATTAGCCTAATGCTCTGCTCCAAGTTACCACGGGCCTTGACATGG